ATCTTGCGACTCGTTTATCCGCATTACTAGTAAGGGTAAAATTATTATGCGCATATGTGTGCCAGATTATATGCATAAGCTTTGAGCGTTCTTTTGTCGCTAGTTTACAAAAAATGCAGCTTATGTAAAGTAACTACCGATAGTTTTTTAAAACCATCGATAGTACCATCGATAGTTTTGCACTTCTAGTTCTATCAATAGGCAACACTGACGGTGCGTCATTGTGATTGATACAAGCAGTTTTGCAAGGAAAAAATCGGGGCGAATTAATATAAATTTATAAATTCGAGTAGGGTGAAAAGATTGTTAGAATATCTGCTTACGTTAGAGACCTATAACTCTTCGTCATTTACTACGGCCTTTATTAGTAATGTCTTCCAGTGCCGGCATCAGTGACGCTTTGTCCACTCAGAATTTGGAGCTTCCTCCATTACGAAGTTTGGATGACTTTGTATTGGGTTCTGCTCGATTTCAGTTACCAAATATAAAAGATTTGGAGAAATGGGGCAATCGTGTAGTAAAAAATTTGCTATATTATCAAACCAACTATTTTCTTTTGTTTCTGGGAATTTATGGCGTAATGATAATAGTAAATCCAATAAAAATAATTTGGGGTCTGATTGTAGAAGCAATGATAATTGCTGTGGTGGTGCGGTTCTTTTTGAAGAGGACTGACTTAAAATTTAAATTTATTGTCAGCTGGTCCACTGCTACAGAGGAGAATCCGCAGCAAAAATGGTACTTTTTGGCGAGCGTCCTGTTATGTGGCTACCTTCTTCTGTATTGGTTAAATGCTATTTTATTATCAAGTTTTGCGTTGCTTCTTCCTATATCATGTAAGTACCAATTTATCTGAGGCTGACTTCGTAAATGCATCAATGCAAAGCAACAGCCTCTTATTTCGTATTTATTTGATGGAAAAGCAAAATGAGCGCAACTAAGTTCCAATTCGGCTTTTGAAGGTGGTTGCGCGATTTAGACATTTGCGTCAGTTATACATAATTTAGAAATAAAAAAGGCTGATGCATTGATACACTTACGAAGTTAGCCAAACTTTCGGTCATACAATAGCCCTGTTCGCGTACGCACTATCTAGTAAATCCAGTACTAATTTTACTGGTTTTTTACTGCATGTCGTTTTCGTACGCAAGAAATTAGCAAAAGTGGAAATTGAGAGAGCAAAAATGACAGCTGAACTTGCAAGTTTTACTGGATTTTTACTGGATAAATTTCTACTAGCAACTATTTGCTAGCAAGAAAAAAAGCTGATGGCATGATGCTTAATGTAATTCACATTAACAAAATAATTGTTTGTGGTGCTTTTAGAGTTGCAATTGACAAAATAAACCTATTTAAATATATAATAAGGTGGAAAATACTAGTTTTCTAAGAAAATTGCATCGGAAAGTAACAAATTAATCAGCTGTTCATAAAACTAGCAACTTCTTGCTGGTTATGCGTTTTCGTACTTTCTTGCATATTTCGTTCATTAGGAGTAAATATTGGCTTACTCTCCGAAATTTGGTTACTGGCAAGTTACTGGATATTTTTTGCTGGAGAATACGAAAATGCAGCTAATGTTGCCTTGTATCAAAAGTTGTGTTTTCGTATTATCCAGCAAAAAATATCCAGTAACTTGCCAGTAACCAAATTTCGGAGAGTAAGCCAATATTTACTCCCAATGAGTGAAATATGCAAGTACGAAAACGCAAAACAAGCAAGAAGTTGCTAGGTTTATGAACAGCTGATTAATTTGGTATTTTTCGATGAAATTTTCTTAGAAAACTAGTATTTTCCATCTTATTATATATTTAAATAGGTTTATTTTGTCAATTGCAACTCTAAAAGCACCACAAACAATTATTTTGGTAATGTGAATTACATTAAGCATCATGCCCATCTGTTTTTCTTACTAGCAAATAGTTGCTAGTAAAAATTTATCCAGTAAAAATCCAGTAAAACTTGCAAGTTCAGCTGTCATTTTTGCTCTCAATTTTCCCACTTTTGCTAATTTCTTGCAAGTTTTTGCGTACGAAAACGACATCCAGTAAAAAACCAGTAAAATTAGTACTGGATTTACTGCATAGTGCATACGCGAACAGGGCTTATATATTTAAATAGGTTTATTTTGTCAATTGCAACTCTAAAAGCACAACATACAATTATTTTGGTAATGTGAATTACATTAAGCATCATGCCATCAGCTGTTTTTCTTACTAGCAAATAGTTGCTAGTAAAAATTTATCCAGTAAAACTTGCAAGTTCAGCTGTAATTTTTGCTCTCTCAATTTCCACTTTTGCTAATTTCTTGCAAGTTTTTGCGTACGAAAACGACATCCAGTAAAAAACCAGTAAAATTAGTACTAGATTTACTGCATAGTGCGTACGCGAACAGGACTAATGTTTTAACTACATACATACGGTGAGCGTCTAAAATAACCCAGAAATTATTGAGGTAGGCTTTCTTAAGTAAAGCCATTCTAAGGGCCGGTTACTCAATG